AGCATTTTATATTCTAAGATCTTCTGTTTCTTTTTGTTTTTTTTTAAAAAGCATACAACTTACAGTATGGTCCATTTGTCATATTATGCACATATATTTATATTAATACCTATCAATTAATTTAATTCCTATTATTGGAAGTAAAATAATTCTGCAGAAAATCAAGATAGTTTCTATTAAGTCTCTAATTTGTTTACTGATTTAAATACAGTTTATCAGCCTTACCAGAATAAGTAACTGCTGTGGTACTGTAAGTAGCACTCTGAGTATAAGATGGCACCACAGTAGCCGCAGCTGCTACTGGCTGTACGGTGGAGGATACAGGATAAATGGAGAAAGTAGTGGTAGCTGGACTTGGTGTGGCTGGTTTTATGGCTGTCACTTGTCGAGTTTGCTGGGCTTGAGTATACTGAGTTGCACCTTGGCTATAACCTGCTTTGGGGGCTAAAGTGGGAAAGAGACATCAGAAGATTAGAAGAGTAAGCCACTATAGTTACTGTACCAATATCCCAAAAAGTGGAAAGAATAGGTCTAAACATCATTAACTATAAATTTTATGCCAGCAATTTCTTCTTGGCAAAAGAATTACCAACATAAATAAAGTACGTAAACTAATTTACCTTCTTTTCCTAAATGCTCTGTATGTATTTCCAAAATGATTATTTTGGCAAAATTTACAACTAAGTGAAATAGTAATACTACTTACAACTGGTAGAAATAAAGCTTTTTTTTTGAAAAGGGGTCTGTGTGTGTGTTTAGGTTAGTCAGTCTACTTGTGAGTTAGGTTTAATGCTGGAAACAAAATGGAGACAGGGTCAAAGTATAAAGTAAAAACTTCGACAATGTTTAATTACATGGAACTTGTTCATATATCATTCATTGCATTTATCCATAGTAAATGTCAATCTAATCCTAACTCACAAGGTGCTACTGACTTAATTTTTCAAATGTCAACAGCTTATGTACAATTATTTTTAATTGGCTACCATTAACGTCTCTGCTAAACTTTCTACTTCCTTTGACCATATTCAAAACAATGTACTTTCAAAGAATCTTATGAACCTTACTATCAATCACTAAATTAATCAATTAAATTAATAATTAATCACTTATAATGATCACTGAAACACATAAATGTTATTTCTGAGAAAGGCCCAAATGACAGGATGCCAAATTCATTTTATGCTCAGTTAAGTAAAGACAACTTAGAGCTTTTATCTGTATCTGCTTATGAAATTTGAGCCATATAGCACACAGATGAGTATTTTATAGAGGAGACTAATATCCAAGAACTAAATGACTTACAAAAGTCACATAGTCAATATCAGAACTTAGGCTAAAACAAGATCTTCTGACTTATATAATTCAGCACTCTTAAGCATAACCTATGAAGCTTAGTAATTAACCAAGAAGTTCCATATAGATTATTAATACACACATATCAACGGAGATGAGACCATAAGAAAAGTTAGTCATTATAATTCAAAATATTTTAAAACCACTTTTAAGGGACTCATAAAATCTTACAACTAGAAGGGACTCTAGAGAGATCTGGGTCAGTAACTTCATTGACAGATAAGAGAACAGAGATGAGAACAGAGATGAAGAGAGGTAAAAATTACTTGCCTGCATTAGTGGTAAAGCCAGTACTACAAGCCAATTCTATTCTCTCCTAATCCAAACTCCTAGGTCTTTCAAAAATAATTAAATGAGTTGCCACTTTTCAAAACACAGAGAGATTTGTTTTAAAAGTTCTCAATTAAATTTCTACACACACATAAAAATCTTTTATTCTTTTTCATTAAAGAGACAATGTCTCTCGCTCTGTCTCCTAGGCCAGAGTGCAGTGGCATGATCACAGCTCACTGCAGCCTCTAGCCGCTGGGCTCAATCAAAATCCTCTTGCCTCAGCCTCCCAAATGGCTGGTTCTACAGGTACACACCACTGTGCCCAGCTAATTTTTAAATTTTTTTGTAGAGATGAGGGTCTCGCTATGTTGCCCAGGCTGGTATCAAACTCCTGGCCTCAAGCAATCCTCCTGCGTTGGCCTCTCAAATTGCTGCAATTTCAGGCATGAGCCACCACACCCAGCCAAAATCCATCTTTTAAAGTCTACAAATATGCAGGCATTTTTGCAACAAAACGCTTCCTGCATTTGAACCATTCTAAATACTGTATTTAATATCATAGGTGGCTTATAACAGAAACCAACTGTTGTCACAGATCAGAGAAAGACGAATTAAAAATATGGGCCCATTAAAGAGTTTCTACCAGTTACAAAGGCAGCTGGCAACATAATATGTTCTGGGCATTTCTGGCAAAGATAAGAATGTGGTCAGAAGCTATTCTCACAGCTTGTTTTCTAAAGCTTATTTCAGCAGGAAGAGAACTGTAGGCTGTAAGTCCAGAAATGGAGTACATTTCTAGGGGATAAGGGCATGATTATGAATTGCTGCCATGGCCTTCTCTTTGTGACTCAAAGGCATTCTAGTAGAGGAGGAAAAGGACATGGCTAGAACGTGACTCTCAAGGTGACATAACATAATGAGTTTAGATGGACTCGAAAGCTTACCTTCATTAAAAAATATCCCAAATCATATACTTCAATAGTTTATAAAGAAATTATGTGTATTCATAAAACCCACCTGTCTGGTAGTAGGTTTCAGCAACAGAAGGCTGAGGCTGGGCAGCGGCAGCTACAGCAGCAGCAGTTGCTGTTGGTTGTTGGTAGTACTGCTTACTATCGTAAGCTACAGCAGGAGCTGTGGATCTTACATATGAATACGAGTCCTAAAGAAAAGGAATGAGAGAAAATCTTGCTATGAGACAAGTGGCAGGAAAAAAAATATCCTTACTATATAAAAAAAAGGAAAACAAGAAACTAATTATGCAGTTTTATGTCAGACCTAAACATAAAGAATCAAATTCAATACAAAGAGGATTCATTTTGGACTTCATCAAATAAGAGCAAAAGCATTTTAGCAACACGTTTAACTTTTATAATCAGAGCAATCACTGAAACATTTAAAATACTTATGTAAAAATTAATTTTATTAAAAATTCATGGCAGTCTTGCCTTACAGATGGATCCCACAGTATCAGAAAAGGAACACCTGGGTGTTACTAAGCTTTGTCATTACACCAGCCTTTTCATTGCTTCTTTTTTTCAAGAAAGATCAAGGTAAGCTGGATAAATTCTGGCACTCCATAAAGTAAGGAGGGGTGGAAAGGTACGTAGGTGGAAAGGCTGAAGAAGCCGACAGGGACAGGGCCCAGAAAATGATGGGTTTCACAGATCTTATTAAAAACAACAAAATTTATCATATTCTGTCTCTGGGCATAATGAAACATAATCATATACACGAAAAGGAATTCTAAGTTTAGTAATTTGCCAAAAATTAACAGCAAATACTAATACTGTTGATCTATATTTCAATTTCTTTCTTCACAAAGTAAATTCCTATGCTTTAGAAAGAATATAGAAAAACCGGGGAAAGCTCAGAAGGATCAAAGTTTAAAATACAGATCCTAAAAGCAAACAAACAAGAAATGGACTGAAGAAATTAAGACCAAATTTATTTACATAAACAAGTAGTAAACTAGTACTGTTTTGAAACAATACTGTAAAGTGAATTTATAAGTCCCATAAGACTAAACAAGAGGCAACTGAATAAAATCATAATCAATTTTTGTTATGCTGTATACTAAAAAAGAACATCTTGACAGGATACATGTACAGACAACAGAATTTCTACCTCGGATAAGTTTCAAGAAAATATATAATTATGTCTGCCCTATAGCTTAGGCACACGATTCTCAAAATAGAAGATATACCTGTGTTTTAAATGAATAATGTCATAGTACAAACAAGGGACAGTTTTTCTCTATCTTAATTTTTTTTTTATGAAATTGAGGTCAAATTATTTAACCAGTAATTAATGTAAAACCTTCTAAGAATCAAAGCAAACATAGGTATATATAATACAGTGAAGGAGACAGGGGGAGAATTATTAATATAAAGCTCATTACAAGGAAACTTAGTGGTTGGACTATGTCCCCAAACTATCTGTGAATACCCATTCACTTTTTTCTACCATTAGATGTATATTTTGGAAGACCCAAGTTTGAAAAGCACTAGCTTGAGCATTATATTATACACTGAGGCCACTAAAGCCTCCATGTTAAGGCTATTGAAACTAGTAGTTTTCTTACCTGGTAGTTTTGTGTAGTAGCTGGAGGTGGTGGTGGTGGTGCCTCTTGTTGTCTCTGGGTATAACCATAGTCAGTTGCTGTGTGTGCAGTGGGGTAGCCTCCATATGCAGCAGCTGTTGCAGCAGCTGCAACAGCTACTGGAGCAGGCCTGGCAACTGCAACTGTGGCGGCTGCTGGTGCATAGGCAGCAGTAACTGTGTGAGCAGCTACTGGAGCCTGATGGACAGTGTAGCTAGCAACTGTAGTTGGATGAGAATAGGCTACACCCGAAGCTGGCTGCTGGCTATATTGTGGAGTAGAAGAATAAATATAATACAATTTTAAAATCCAGGAATAAATAACTTGAATAAAAAGTTATTTACCAACTTAAATAAAAATCACATTTGCTTTTTAATGTGTAACATAATCATCGACTACAAAAGGCCAAGTATTTGAACTCAATAAACCTCCTTCTCAATACTATATCTGCTACTGTTCTATTAATATAATTTTTATTCCTTAATCGTGTTATATAGTCACACATATTGTTTCAGGTCATAGATCATATTGAAAGCAGAGATAACAAACTAGGATAAGAAACAGTATTAGGAGGAAAAGAAAAATTGATATAAGGAATTTTAAAAAGTATTTGTCACATGCATATAAAAAAGTTCTTTATTATGTTCTATAGTTTAAAAAATCTCCACAAAGAAATCATGATAAGAAAAATATTATACTCTAACCCCAATTACAGAAAACATTTAAGGTAGAAACTATTGACTAGTTGATTAAGAAAGAAGCACTTCTGTTGGTCTAGGACAATGGTTCTAACTAGGGGAGATTTTGCCCCCAGGGGACGTATGGCCAAAACGTCTAGAGGTATTTTTGATAATCAAACTGTAGAGAAGGTGGTGGTAATATGTGTTACTGGTATCTAGTGGATAGAGGCCAGAGATGCTGTCACACACTTTACAATGCATAGGACACCCCCCCAACAAAGAATTATCTAAAATATGTATGTCAATAGTGCTGAGGTTGAGAAGTCTTGCTCTAGGGTACAAAACCTACAATGAAATATCTATTATTTTAGGTAAATTTTCTAGCTTAGAGTCAGTATTTCATTATATAAATTTACTTTTCTCTTAAAAATATAATAGCACATGTTATAAAAGGAGACCTAAGTTGGACACTTTGCAATTATAACCATTTAAACCTTAAAGAGGCAAAATATTTTCAGTAATCAAATGAATTTCCAGATAAAGTTCTTAATGTGTTTAAGTTGAGAGCCTATGTCACATAAAACCAAAGGCCTACAGAAGTTAGCATATGAAAATGTATTTCTTATTCTAGGTTCTCTGAGTAATATACTCAATTCCACTTGCTAAAGCTACATTTCCAAGGCAGAAACACTTTCTAAAAAAGGAAAGCCCCAACAGTTATTTAGCTGGCAGGTTTTAGCTGACCACAAGTTTTAATATGAGCCAACAGTTAAGAATAGCTAAGAAATAAAAAAAAAACCTGACATAAGCCAAAGCTGCACTAATAAACTAGAGTATCTGATTCGTGGGTTATAGCACAGGGTATTCCGTACTGGTGTGCTTGGTACCATAGATACATGGTACAGAATTAAAATTTGGGGGCCATCATATTTTAACTGTGTTATAGAAAACACTGATAAACTAGGCTGTGTCCAAAAAAAAATCAAAGTAAAGCTTATAGATAATGGGTTTTATTTCATAATAAAAGAGGAGGACCTAAGGGAAATTCAGTCTAGAAAAGGTGACAGCTGCCTTCTAACAGAAGACACTTAACTCCATGCTGCTCCAGAGAACAGAACTAGAACCAATAGAAGGAAGTCACAGGGTGGCAGATTTCAGCCCAATATGAAAAAGGAAAAAAAAACCAAAAATAAAAAACTTAAGAGTCAAAAGAAACTCTTATAATTCCTACTTGGACTAAAACTAGCTAAAATTTTTTACATATATGTCAATAAGACAGGAAAAGGAAGGTTTACATTGTAATAGTGGGAAATTGGGTTGAGATTAACATTTTCTATGAACGATTCCACATCCTTAAGAAAAAAATGCCAATAACATGTTATACTTCTTCAAAATTCCTAGAAGTGAGAAAAAAGATTATATTTAAAATATAAATACACCATGTCTGTGAAACTCATATTTAACATGTACTAACAGGGTACTTCACACATCCGGACTATACTGCATAGGAGAAATACTGGTTCCATCATCTGTCCACATTTCTTGGTCCCCAAAACATGTCCTATAGGACAAAAAGCAAGTAGGAATAGAATGGGAATGTCAAGTCAACCAAGGAGACAATTTGACTTTTATTGCCTCTGATCCTAACCCTCAAAGTCTATGTGACTTGGGAAGGAATGACCATATGCTCTGGTTTATGCCTGCTGCCCCAGCATGATTATTATTAATAGTATTCTCTTTCACTCTCCTAAGTGTCTCACTTTGAACATTAAATTATACAGTTACTTACCCTAGGAACCAAATAAAAAGATGCCAGTGCATTTAGCAATTACTATATACAGATCTGTGAAGCTGCCTAACCTAACTCTGCTCTGTATAGCCAGATCTCTTTACCCATCTCCTAGACCGGAACCACACCCTCTACCAAGAACATCAGAAAAAATGATAATCTAGTCCCAATTTCTAGTAGGCCAGGGGCTAGGGCAGACAACTGCTGTTCAGATTAAAGACTCCCTGGTTGGTTATCCTAGACCCATCCGGAAAATTCTATTTTGATTTTAAATATCTTAGAAAACCACCTATTACATGATGTAGATGACCACGCTGGACTATATTAATTCAATTAGCTATCTAGTGGCTAAGTCTAAATGTAAATTTACTTCTAAAAATTTAGGTCAAATCAAGTTCAAATTAGTTAAAGTAAAGTTAATCTTAAGTTAAAACATGTCAAATCGAGGTTTTTGCTTAGTCTGGAGTATTAAAATAAAAGGTGTTATCTCTCTGCATACAATGTAAAACTTAACTATCTGTAAATTATTTCTTGAATAAAACAGAACATAAATTAAATAAAAACCCAAGCCTTGTGCCATAAAAACATACTTGTGAAATATGAAAAGACTTTCATTTACTAAGCATCCAGTACAGCAGAAGCTTCTATGTGGATAACATCCTTTGTGAATAATCTAATTAGCTTCAGACAGTTTTAATCTGTGACAAACTAATACATGATGAAACAAATATAAAAGAATAATATGTATAAGAAAGGTTAAGAAATACATCAAGAGTCAGACAAAACAGAAAGGAACTTCTCTTGGGGAAAAAAAGGAAAAGAAAGTATCTAGGAAATTATTAATATTAAAGAGTAAAAATACTCTATCTTCTTAGATTACCCTGGAAATTACTGGCCAGCTCCCTGCCTACTTAGCAAAAAGTGAGCCAGAGGCCTCACTGAATAGAGTTTACAGGCAGTCTTACTGCTTTTTTCTTAAAAATGAACAGACAAGGCTGGGTGCTGGGCTTGCCTATATTCCCCCCAGTTTGGGAGGCTGAGGCCAGAAGATCGCTTGAGGCCAGGATTTTGAGACCAGCCTGGGCAACACAGGGAGACCCTGTCAGAAAGGAAAGGAAAAAGCAAAGAGAAAAGAAATTTCCTACTCCTGAAGGGAAACACGTTTTCAAATTCAAAGGGCCCACAGGACTGCAAAATAGAACAAAAGAACCAAACCATTTTACATGTCAAAACAAAAGAGTTCAATTCTCCAGAGAGGGAAAAAACTACAAATAAATGAAAAATTAGACTTCCTACTGGTAACATAGTGGCTAGAAGAGAATAAGGTAATGTCTTCAGAATTCAAGGGAAATGATTATTAATGTAGAATGCTGTACTCAGCCAAACTATGGAGGCAGAATAAAGATTTTTTTAGACATTCAAGGATGAGAGGAGCTTACCTCCTATATATGTTTTCTTAGGAAGCTACAAGAAGATATATTCCAGGCTAAACAAAAAGTAAATCAACTAACTTGAGATCATGCAAACAGTGGACAAAGATAAAAGCCTAGGTGCAGCAGGCCCAGAGAAGAGCGAGCACAGATTGGGATCAGAGGAAGGACAGAAGCCTCTGGGAGAAAGACATCAGGAAAATAGGGACTGGACAGAACAGACAGTAGACAAGGAGTTTAAAAAAATCTTAGGACATGATCAAGTCACTGACATTAAGATTTTTTTAAAAAGGTAATGAAAGACTTCAGGAAATATAAAAATGCTCAAGAAAGGCACGATTCTGGTGAAAGATTTCACAGTTGAGCTATTAGTACAGTGTAAAAAAAAAAAAGGAAAAATCCATTTGAACTTAAGCCTAGGAAGATTTTCTATTAAGTGGGATAGGATTGTAAAATGGAATGCATTAGGCATTATAATCAGAATGGTACTTGGCTCCACAGTAAATACTATTTACACAGTCATAAGAATGAAACAGGCTTTTGCTTTAAAGTTTTAGAATCAACCTAAATTACAGAAGATAAACCATGATTACAGAACATAATGTAAATGTTATCACAAGTAAAACTATAGGTTAAGTTGGAGGATGAGGTGGGGAAAGGGAAAGTGAAGCACAAGAGTTTCAAGACTCTTAGAGGTACTAAGATACCGTCTATTTTTGATAGAACTAGAAATGGAGTGTATTGCTGAAGTAACAGAAATAGCCTACCACTGAATTTGGAGAGAGGAGAAATAAGAAGGTTACGTACTAAGTCCTAAACTATAACAATAGGAAATCAAAATATAATGCATAAAGTTGATAAATTACAAAATAGCAGAAGAGGCATGTTATTTAATGATGTGGAGGTTAACACCAAAAGAAATAAAACCAGAATGCATTAAAGGTGGAGGTCTCTGGGACGTTTAACTCTTTAGTTTCTATACAACAGTCATTCTCAAAATGTGATCCAAGGATCCTCAAGACCCTTTTAGGAGGTTCATAAGGTTCTCCCTTTTTCAATTACACACCTGTGTGAAGCCAGATTGACTTTGTATATTTTAATTCAAACAATTTAGTGCAACAGACTGAATGCAAAAGCAGATTTGAGAATCCAACAGTCTTAAGACATTAAAATGATTTGTAAAAATATGAAACAATGTCTCTAATCTCACTATATAAAAAAATTAGCTATTTTTTGTAAACATTTCTGGTTAATGTGTAATGGTTTCACTGTTCTTATTTTAAATGATTAATAAGTATTTTGAAAATTTCTTAATTCTAACATAGCAAAATATCGATCTAAACCAAATAAACAAAAACTGTTTGGG